AATAATAAAAAAAAAAATCTGGTGGTATAGCCATTAGGGTGTAACTCACCTCTTACGACCTTCTTATCTAAAGCTATACTCGTCTTTGATTCTCAACTAATAACTTTCATTATCATCATCACCATCCCATACTAAGTCTTGAGGTTGTACGATTCCTCCTCAGAAGCTTTATGTCGTAGACGGTAGGATGGATTGAGTAGGGAGAGCTCTTTTCCGCAGGGGAAACACAAAGTGGGAGGTGTTTGCCCTCAGGGAGTAAGGGCAGATAAGAGGGACTGTTACACTCTGGGGCTGCGAGAGATGGAAGGGGGAGCATCATCTGCTAGCGGTGGCAGAGCGGTGGCAGAGCGGACAGAGATAGCTTGAGGAATACCTGGAGGGGGAACAGGTAGCCACGAGGGTAGTAGGGTAGAGGGAGGATCTTCTCTTGCTGGGGCTGATGGGAACTGCCCGTCATCAGAGGGATTCTAATCAGCCCCAGCAGAGGCAGTAAGGTGAGTTAGGTTGGGAAAGAGGTGGAGTGGACAAGGGTGGCATTATCATTATCAGTATCATCATCATCATCTCGTCATCACTAGTGTTGCTTTTAAAAAAAAAGAAAAAAGAGGAAAGATTCATTAACCTGTTTTATTTGGTTTCTTGTTCTGTTTGGTTCTTCGAATAAGACTTCCTTTGTTAACCTTTATTGGATAGCTAACTGGGAGCAAGTTATTCTCTTGTTTACTGATAATTAAGCAGGTAGGAGATATCCATTAACCTGTTTTGTTTGGTTCTCTGAATAAGACTTCCCCTGTTAACCTTTATGGGATAGCTATTCTGGATTGACTTTCGTAGAAGTAGACTGTGCAATCAGGTCCATTTTGGTCCTGTAAAAAACGAAACTGGGTAAGGCTCTCAGACTTGTGTTGTTTGTCCAGGAAGACTGTGAGGACCCTGGCCTGTCCAGTTGATGTAGCTCAGTGGTTAGAGCACCGGTTGGAAATGCGCATTGTGGTATGAGGTTGTGGGTTCAAAACTCTGCAGCCTTGCGCATGGACACTGGCAGGGCGTTAGAATGATGCACAGCTGGACACACACTCCCCTGGGCTGACGCATGGTACTATCACAGACACTGCCTGCGCACCACCCGGGGGTCAGTCCATGGGTGTTGTATGCTGGTCTAGACTTCACGTTGGTTGCTGGCTGTTGTTGGCTTTGGTCGTTCTGATGATCTCCCCCAGCCCAGACATTACACACAATATATCCACTTCCAACGATAGTACATGTGGTAGAACCCGCCAGTTTCATACTGTAGTTCACAGCTTCGAGTCCAGTTCCGGACCTTGGGGGGGTTCCTGTCCAGATAGGCCTGTCTCTACCACATACACACACATGAGATACCACCCCAGATAGCACAACCATGATACATAGTCTATCACATACCATACACACATACAATACACACACATATCACATACCATACACACATACTATACACTCACATAGCTCAAGGTACTCACACACACACATGTACTCGTGGAGAAAATAAAAACACCTCCCACCAGTACTCAGTATCTGCTATGAAATCGGGTCCACATACACATAGCCCACGGGCACACATCTATTATACGAAGTACATATGCATATATACACAACCATAGGGCTGGGAGGAGGTCACGATCAACTGATAATGATGATAGGCGTTTCGATGATGAGTATCCCCATTAATATCAGCTAGGTCTGTGGTGGGTGAGTAGAGGGCATGAGTCGCTGGTTGATCAGGATCAACTAATGATGGTGATAGGCATCTCGATGATAAGTACCCCCCTTAATATCAGCTAGACTGTGTGTGGCAGACTAGGGCTGTGGTGGGCGAGTAGAGGGCCTGAGTCACTGGCTGTTCTGGATTAACTGATGATGATGATAGGCGTTTCGAGGATAAGTACCCCACCTTAAAATCAACTAGGACTGTGGTTGGCTAGTTAGAGGGCATGAGTTACCAGTTGGTCAACTTAGGGCGGGCTAGTAGGAGATTGCTTGGGCCTGGCGTCCGAAGTTCCTGTGCGATGAGGCTCGGTCGATTCCGCTTCCACCAGGGCTGGGTCATGGATCGCCTTGGTGCCTGTCACTACTTCGGTCCAAGTCCCTTCGATACCAAGTAGGGGTAATGGTCCTGAGTGCTGGTCTGAGGTAGGATAGTAGAGATAGGGGGTGCGCTAGGAGTATTGACGTGAGGATGGGATGGGAAGGTAGCCTCGTTCCCTCAGGACAACCATGGCTGACGGCTCCAGGCGACCAATGCTTGCCTAGTAACCGGCCTCTACAACACCCTGGGCTTTAAAACAACAACAACAACAACAACAACAACAACAACAACAACAACAACAACAACAACAACAGCAACAACAACAACAACAACAACAACAACAACAACAACAACAACAAACAACAACAACAACAACAACAACAACAACAACAACAACAACTTTATTTCAATATCAGCCTTAGGCACTGCACCCCCTCCCCCCTCCAAAAAAAACAAAAAACGCTCTAAGGACAGATTCTTGGGGAATTAGGATTCCCATCGGGGCAACCGAGTGCCAAGTACTGTGGGTGATATCCATCTGTCTGGTATCCCACCTCTACAACAACGTGGGCTTATATATAACAAAAAAAAAAAAGGAAAGAAAAGGATTCCCCAACCATTTCGTCCTCGGCTCCAAGGGACCCTCGTGAAGTCCTTTGGAGCCAAGGATCCACGTTTCATGGAGAGGAGAGGGCACACATGTAGAGAGGCATTACAACGGTCGAATCCAGATTGCGGCGGCACCCTATTGGCTGAAAGCCTCAAGCACAACTGTTTTCCTTTTCCTTTTTCTTTTTTCCCTAAAAAAGCTCCAAGGATGAATCTCTAAGCCGACGCTCCAAGGATGAGTCGAACGATTACGTCAAAAACGCTAATTTTGTTCAAGGATTTCGTCCTTGGGCTCAAGGACAGTTTGAGGAGTTTCTAATGAGGCCCTTTGCGTTAGCCAGGGCCCCCATTGGCCCCACCCTACTCCCGACCACTGCCGATTAGGGCTGGGGCAACATGCATCCCCTAGGTAGGTAGTGAAATGTCAAATTGAGAGAAGAATATCGTTATAAAAAAGAAAGAAAGGAAAAGGGAAAATAAATGATTGCAAGTTGCGTGACTCACATGTACGAACCATGTATGAACACCGTTGCCAGGGTTCCCTACTTACTCGAGTTGTTCGTTTCTGACCACCAGTACAGCTGTCTCTTATACACATCTAGATGTGTATAAGAGACAGGATTAGGGCTGGGGCAACATGCATCCCCTAGGTAGGTAGTGAAATGTCAAATTGAGAGAAGAATATCGTTATAAAAAAGAAAGAAAGGAAAAGGGAAAATAAATGATTGCAAGTTGCGTGACTCACATGTACGAACCATGTATGAACACCGTTGCCAGGGTTCCCTACTTACTCGAGTTGTTCGTTTCTGACCACCAGTACAGAGAATCAGCAGCAACATATGAAGAATCTGGGTAAGTGGGGCTTGGCCCCCGGGGGTAAGCCCCACTGCAGACTCAGTGCAGAGCGTTTCTCTTTTCTTTTCTTTCTTTTTTTCCCTTGCTTTTGGGGATAATTTGTGAAGTACCCCTATAGGTTGAGATATGTGCCAAAACGCCCCTAAAAGATGTGGGTAGAGCGGAATGCCCTTTTGGGCCTGATTCTTTGTGTTTTGCCCCTGTCAGGCCCGTGTGCAAATTTGCAATCTGGACCGCGCCGTTGGGGCCTGCGCCTGCACCCTGCTTACCCGGTTTGCCCTCCATATCGGGTGGGCAACTTTGCGCAATACCCAGGCCCATAGGCGTGGCAGTTTGCCTTTGTGATTCAAACTTTCGAAGTCGTTCGAAGTGTCACGCTGTGTTCTGCAGCTTCGCCCTAGTAAGCTTGCCCATTTCCAACGCCTCCCCTGCCATTCCTCCAAGTTCTCCTCATTTGCCATCTCCGACATCCTCCTTCCCGCCACTCCTTCAATCTCTCTCTCTCTCTCTCTCTCTCTCTCTCTCTCTCTCTCTCTCTCTCTCTCTCTCTCTCTCTCTCNCTCTCTCTCTCTCTCTCTCTCTCTCTCTCTCTCTCTCTCTCTCTCACACACACACACACACACACACACACACACACACACACACACACAGACAGCACAACTGGTAAAACAACAGCGCCTTTCCCCCATATAGAACGCACATCCATTTTTTGTGTATCTAGACAGAAAGCTGCTCCAAAAAACTGCAAACATAATGGCCATGCCTTCTCTTCAATGCACATTTTCTTTGGAGGCATCGGACAAGGGGAAAAACGCAAAGATGACCTGGGCCAGTAGGGGTAAAACAAAGATAAACAGGGCGTGGGAAAAGTTGGCAAGTACCGGGACATTTTGCAAAGATGGACAGTACCCAGTGGGGCTATTTTGCAAAGATGGCAGGTCCAACCAACGCCAGGGGCATTTCACAAAACATTTTTTGTGTTAGAGGCGTTTTCCGCTCTACCCACATCTTCTAGGGGCATTTTGGCATATATCCCAACTTATAGGGGTATTTCACAAATGATTTTTAACAGTCATAGCAAATGCTAGGGGCCCTGATAGGAGCAGGCACCTAGCACTCCCGGGGAGGTTCCATCTATTGGTGGGGAGCATCACCTGCTGGAAATCGGGTCCAGCATCCTTGAACATTGCAGTTATTTGTTTGAACAGACATGAAATTGTAATGGCGGCAAGGTGCAGGGCCTACCTACAAATACAGGAATTTGACAGGTAGAACTACACAGCAGCCTAAGTTGATTGCCTACATGAGCGCATACGGTAAGTAACGGTATACACAAGTCCCATGACAGCTACCAAGGGATATGGGCTTTGGACTTCCATTTGTCTGGAGAGTTAACTGGATCCCATCCCCTGTTGTCCTCTGTCCCCTTAACAGCACCCTATACCACCAATGCCGCCTTTCGTTAAAGTTACGGTCTTGGGGGTCAGAGCGCTGGCCCCAGTGGTTGTTTGGAGTATATTTTGGGCAGCCACTGCCTTCATCCGTTAAGTCTTGTATCCATTACCTGCATCCCTCTTGGAACCATCCTCGCTCTGCCCTCGCTCTGCCCTCTCTCTGCCTTGAGCATTGCTGTTCCTGTTTTTGCAAACCCCTTCCCGTTTTTGACAATATATGTTGCATACCGTATAGGTGCAGA